CCCAGCAGATTTAGGCTGTGGTGGCTGTGAGTGTGCCACTGCACTCCAGCCTGGGCAAGAGTGAGTCTCTGACTCACACAAACAAACAAAAAACAAAACTCTCCTTCCCACTTCTGTGCCCCTTCACCCTTCTATTCCACAGAGATGCATTGTTATTAGTTTCTTCCACCTTCTTCCAGAATATTTTATATATTTTCTTTCTTTCTTTCTTTCTTTTTTTTTGAGTTGGAGTCTCACTCTGTCACCCAGACTGGAGTGCAGTGGCCACTCCCGGCCACCGCAGCCTCGACCTGCTGGGCTCCGGCGATCCTTCCACCTCAGCCTTCCGAGTAGCTGGAATTACAGGCGTGCGCTACCACACCCGGCTAATTTTTTGATTTATTGTAGAGATGAGGTCTCGCTGCCCAGGCGGGTCTAAACCCGCGGGCTCAGGCAATCCACTCACCTCAGCCTCCCAAAGGCGCGGGATTAGAGGCTGAGCCACCGAGCCCGGCTTTTATATATTTTCAAGCAAATGTTTCTCATTTTTATCTACCAAAAACAGACTTTTTTGGCTTGTCTTGGGCTGCCATAACAAAATGCCATAGATTGAGTGGCTTAAACAACAAAGTTTTATTTCCTTACAGTTCTAGAGACTGGGAGTCCAATATCAGAGAATGAACAAAGTTAGATTCTGCTGAGGACTCTCTTCCTCACAGATAGGAGTCTTCTCATTCTAATCTCACGTGGCAAAGGGTGAGAGCTACCAATCTCTTCAGGGTCTCTTCTTAGACCACTAATCCCTTCATGAGGGTCTCATCCTCATGGCCTCTTCTAAACCTAATTATCTATCAAAGGTTCCCTCTCCAAATTCCATCCCATTGCCAGTTAGGGCTTTAACATAAGAAGTTGGGGGGGGGGGAGGTGGCACAAGCATTCAAAGTAAAATTTATATCTAAAAAACAAAAGCAGGCTGGGCACAATGGCTCACACCTATAATCCCAGCACTTTAGGAAGCCAAGGTGGGAGGATTGCTTGAGCCCAGGAGTTCAAGTCCAGCTTAGGCAACACAACAAGGCACCATCTCTACAAAAAATTTAAAAATTAGCCAGGTATGGTGGCACCTGCCTGTAGTTCCAGCTACTCGGGAGGCTGAGGTGGAAGGATTGCCAGAGTCCAGGAGGTCAAGGTTGTTGTGAGCCATGATCATGACACTGCACTCCAGCCTGGGTGAAAGAGTGAGATCCTGAACCAAAAATAAAAAATAAATAAAGATAAATGTAAAAATTTGAAATAAGCAAACAAAAGGTTATGTGCAATACCAATTGATTATTTTTCTTTTCCTCCCTAAATGGAGTTTACCAAAATATAAATATGAAATTAAATTTTTTTTTTTTATTTTCTTGAGTCAGAGTCTCACTTTGTCGCCCAGGCTAAAGTGCTGTGGCATGGTCACCGATACCGCAGGCTTTACCTGCTGGGCTCAGGCAATCCTTCTACCTTAGCCCTTCAAATAGCTGGGATTTTTTGATATATTGTAAAGATGAGGTCTCGCCATGTTGTTCAGGATGGTCTCGAACCCCTGGGCTCTGGCAATCCTCTCGCCTCTGCCTCCCAAAGTGCTGGGATTACAGGTATGAGCCATGGCACCTGGCCAATATGAAACCTTTTTTTTTTTTTTGAGTCGGAGTCTCACTCTGTCGCCCAGACTGGAGTGCAGTGGCCGCTCCCGGCCACTGCAGCCTCTACCTGCTGGGCTCCGGCGATCCTT